CGTGAAACGGGGAATAAAAAACTTTACTCATTTCCGGAGATAAATTCACGTTGACCAAGAGTCAGGAAAAGGTGAGGGAGGCTCGGACGCAGAGTATTGTTGTAAAGGTGTAAGGCACTGAAGCAGCATGCGACTAGTCCATAACCTAATAAAAAAGCATTGCGCCGCATTCGAGGTTCTCACGATACTCAGGAGACCTCGCTACTGTTTTCGGTTAATTTTGTCTGTTACTCGTTGGCCGTTCACGAAAGTTCAAGAGGACGACCATGATTATTCATTTTTCAAACGTTCTCTTTGAATGCGATGTTTGCTTGCATTTGTTATGGCTTGTAAACACTTGTTTCGCCTGCTGGTAGACTGCTTTGCTTCCATTCGTCGCTGCTGTTTAGATTGAGTGATAATGAATAACTATGATGTTCAACATGAAGAGTTGAGATACGAGTAAGGCAATTTGTTACGTTGACCAGAGTATTTGAATTGATAGGAGCGAAATCGCGTAAGGTGTTCGAAAAAAAGGATTTGTCAGGTACGCTGTTGTGCGGCAAAGTTATCTCATGAATTGCAATAATTAGGTGGTAGAAATTCATCGGAACTAGATGTGGTTCATTTACGTTTCATCCCGTAAGCACCTAAACTCACAAGGGGGAGGAACGTTGCTGTAAGCAAGAATGGTTGCCGGGTAAAACATCACTACTTGGTGGCACTACCTGGCATTATTCATTACATAATTCGATATTTATGACGGTCAATCAGCCAAATGCGAAAATTATCGATCGAACTTTTCCACATGAATACTTGGGCATGAACAATTATCAGGTGCTACAAAAAGCTGGAGCCTAGGTAATCATTCTACTACTTAATGCTGGGCTGGTTACAAGAGACAATGTCAATCTCATGTGAGAAACACTAGTCAATCTGGGACTGTCCATCTAGAAAACACGAGCTGTAATAAGATACAGCTGAGGAGGTACGCTTTAATCTCTGTTCAACAGGCGTTTACATCGAAGGCATTTGTGAGCTTAGCATACAATGTAGAACGCAGAAGTCACGTGACACATACAGTGCGATCCCAAGTTAGTGCTGATCCCATCACAGACATTGAGTCAATAAATTTGACTGCACCTCGTTATCTATCTATCTCATGCTTACACAGATTGTTGCCCTAAACTGAGTGTGTTTCTACTTTTAGCCAATGACCTTGAGTTGAATGAGGACGCGTGGCAGACGGACAATGAGGTGGGTGTCATCTTATCTGGTCCCTTAAGTTTTTGGTGGGTGAGCTGTGAAATACGATTCGTTGCTTCGATATAGGAGTCATCGTAGCTGCAGGTACCGCGCAGGCATCTTCGCCCGTAGATGGATGTGCCATCCAGATGTGGCTGGACACCTCTTGCACGTGGACCCCACAAAGCTATTGCTGTCCGTAAGTGTGTTGGAGACTCTCTGATGACTAGGAACCGGTTTTAGTGTTAGCGAAGCCTCCGAGTTTTCGTCTACCTAACCCAATACATGGAGACTAACGGAATGCTGAACGGAGACAATTTACCACCCGCGTTTACCTACAACCGCTCAAAATGGTTAATATGTTCATGGACCAGGAATCGGGGTAGTTATCTCCAGTAGAGCACCAACTCTAGTTTCTCCCAAACGGATTACCAACTCGCTTCCGCTTTGAACAAATATACCACATGTTTATTCGTTAATTTATACTCTGTTATATATTACTTTTAGCATTTGCAACAATGGACCTGTTCATCACTTACTGTTCGCGGTGCATTTCACGATAAGCTAGGACGGCAATGTTTCCGGTGTCAGTGTTGTTGTTTTTTCGATAAGTATAGCGAAGAACACGGAAGCAAACACTTTTGCATGATGCCTTTTTGAAAAAAAATATGGGCAACACGTGTGATAACAGGTTTAACTCTGTGCTTTCTTTTAACAAGCTCGTGTGGACTTTTGTCACCAGTGCCCATAGAAGATTTGGTACTGGTTAACCTGAATATCATAAAAATATGTAGGATGTTACTACGCTGCTTACCCTTTGTCCAGCGCTCCTCAACTGCAGGGAAACAAAAGAGTAGGGATTAGGCGCGCGGGGTTGCTAACACCAAACATTTTATCAGCACCTTATACGGACCCAATTGCGAACAGGATTTCCGGGTCTATGATGGTAACGCAATCGCTTCCTAACACCCACACGAATGAGTATGGTAGAGTCTAAGAATTTTGCCGAAGAATATCAATGTGCTATTGATCAGATGGGATACTGTCTAGTCTGTCTTTAAACTCCAAATTGCGTAAACCGCGCCCAACTGATGTCCCTCAAGATGTGTTGAACCACAGGTGATGTGAAATCGTCCAAAAGAAATTCATCAATTTAGTAGGAAAATGTCTTAACCCTGAAAGAAAGGCAGCATCCCTGGGAGCACTTTGGACCGCAAAAATCTTTCAAATGTATTCAGATGGTCGACTACACGAACTATTTAAAATAACAGGTGAATTGTCGTCAGGAATTGGTAAAGAAAACCGGTGTGTGCATCGCTTACACATGGAGTAATTTCAAGCGACTTTTTACAACCGGACATACTGCTTATGTATGACGGACAACGTGCAGTACAATTTAGCCGGTCTAAGTACATACCTATGGGCCCTGGTCTTAGAGCCAAAATGCTTCGTTGGGTTTCAGCCCCGACTACTGATCTACGTGTGCTTCGAAAATTGTTCGTCAAAATAGACAAAGCTGTGAATTTATTATCAGGAAGGTCAGCTTCCTGAAAGCAACCGCTGAATGCTCCGCTAAATGTTGACCAGACAGACAACGCCCCCGCAATATGTAGCACGTCACAGCCCCGTACCAAAGCCAGACCGTGTGCGTCAGCATTGGACTAAGTTCAGACAGTGTCCTTCCAATAAAAAGCCTGAGACCTTTGTACTTTTTGCACTCGCACGCACTCACGCTCTCGCACTCGCTTGCTCGGAATATAGCGGTTGTTCTCCCTTCTGTGAGTCTTTTTACTCCGGCACTAAGCACTGGACCGGGTCAGCAGCAGATATCCGGCCCTTAGATTCTCGGATTTATTGTTTACTGTTTGCATAAGGCCACATCAGACGGCACAATAATAGTTGCTTTAGTTACAATTTCTTGTTCTTAACAGCACAACGGCAGCTCACGCAAAAACACAAGAAAACAGACTAACCTGGAGAAAATAATTCACATTGACTTACGATCTTTTAAATAGTCTGCCCATCCTTTAAAATTCAGAGTTTGTATGGTTATATGGTTAAATCCAAATGAGAAAGGTTTCCAGGAACTTTGAAATTGTTTCGAAAATAAAATCCTGCTGCAAATCATCTGTTTTACATAATATCATCGATCCCACGTGGGTAACTATTGCAGCAGTCCAAAACCATATTTGAGGCAACCATGGAACTAATCCGACCAGAAATCAATCACGATATATCCAAAGGTGTTTGTACTCGGATGGTGGAAAGTTACCATAAAAACGCGGTGATAACAACCTTCCATACCAGAAAAAATTCGGCACAAGGTTCAGTCTGACGGATTAAATAAACTACACGTAAAATTGCGTAAAATCCAGGGCCTCAGTATGCAAAGAGAAAACACTGCAAACGCATTCACCCCCATGTCGAAATACCGTTCATGAGGACCCGTCCACAATCCATATTCGTCAGTCGTCATTCGTTTGATAGGAAGTGACTGAATGTGGCTTTGTTCGCTTGATCGTGGTTGCTGCCAGCTTGATACGTGGGTCGGATTAGCTTTGTGGAAGCTGCTGAATGGTGATAGGTTTACCGTCAACACCAATGACTTAGCGAAGCATCAAATTTGGTTTTCCTCCACATGCGTGTGATCATCACATTGTGTGCCCAGTATCAACTGCATCAGAACCGGGGCAGTGAACCTTTCAGATGAAAACTTAATTACATCTGTTGATGCGTATACCATCTCTGGTGACGTAAATCTTGGATCATATGGATTTGGACATTTATTTTCTTCAAGGACACACATGCCAGGGTGGATTTTCGGCAGGCTACATGAATGCATTTGGTTTAGGGTTGAAACTTTGGAACATTTTTGTGAATATCGTCGAATTCGACTCCTTTTTTTAAATTGTTGGTTACACATTTGACGCCTAACATGTCAACACATAAACATGGATTTTGTGAATATCCCATTCAACTTACTTGTACTTTGACCTCCATCTAAAACAGGTTTATTCTTATGTATTTCAGGACTCGGAGATCCGGTTTACAACATGGTATGCGAAAGAAAACCCGCTACCTTTTTCTGATATTTGTAACGAACAAAACTAAGTTTTAGCTCCCCCATATGGAAAATCGCACAAGGTCGACAGTTTACAGTGACTCATTCGAATAACTGCCGCAAAGGCCATAACCGCGGTAACGAATTACAAATTGCACAGATCCATCTATGTTCATGAGTTCATGTGTACAAGATAAAACTTATCTTTCACAAATGTCTACATCGAGCGATCCAGAATGCTTTCAGATTTCTGATTCTGCCGAGATCAATAGTCATCATCCTGCAGAAACGGCAAGCAATTTGTGGGATTTCGTGTTCCGCGAGGGTCGAAGTCAGTTAGTTTACCTCGTTCTTATCTCATTTTTATTAAAAACAAGTGAACAAATATTATATTGGGACCAGATATATCAGTACTGGTTGTTTCCACCCATAATCCTTCAAGGAAATCTATTCTGTGGGAACGCACGTACTCTCACACTTAGAAGAGCATGAGGGCTGAGCGGCTAAGCGGTTTGCCAGTCGTTCATATTATGAAATTCGCGAAGAAGATGCCTCATAGTGCATTTACTGGCAGTGTGAAATGCGCGAGCCCATCTTGATAATCCAAAGTGTTGTTTCGGGGCTCATGAAATCAAAAGCACTGGTCTACATGTCCAACCTAAAAAAATCGTATCAGGTGTGCGTAATCCCGTCCACAGTTGAGAACACGTCATTTGGAAGGAATGATTATTCAACTGGTTTTGCTCGGTGAGGTTTAACAATTTCATCGCAAAAAGGGTTCGCCTTGTGCAACTGAGTCATTTATTTGAATCGCCGGCGTTTTCACGAACCATAATTTGCTAAAAGAATCACTGTCTCATTAGAGTTCTCTTTATGAGAGCCAACGGACATCGGTAAGTTCAGGTCTGTCCACATAAAATACGAGCGTGTGGTTCCGTTTCGGGTAAATTCTTGTTAGAGTTGCTCGCCCTTTCTAAGTCAAAAATGGCTTAAAATGACAGGGCATTCTCAATGAGAATGCACTGCGTGACCTGAAAGGCACCCGCAGAAAAAGTCTGCATTGTCAGGCAAAACAAGATTTGCTTTATCTGGGACGATCACCGACGCTGTTGCTGTTTCGCCTGAGGGGGAATAGGTTTGTGAATACCCATCCTGGAAAATTGAGGTCGCAAACCAACAAAATTGACAAGGGTATGGAATTCGTAAGCAACGTACCCAGTACCCGATTAAATATATCTGCAAAAACAGGAAGCTTATGTAACTTTTACGCCGTGCAATTTTCAGCAGCGAAGACGTTCATTAAACGCGCACTTGACTAATTTACTTGCAATTATTTCAGGAGAAGACGTACTATGGTAGACGAGTTCTTCAACTGTTCCCAACGGAAACGACAAAGGTAGAAAATCAAACCCGTTTGTTTGTTTCGATACACAGATCATTTAGAAACTTTGTTTATCTCATCCAACATCCCACGGAGTGCAGAATCATCGAAGACTTTAGTCGCAAGTTTCGGCTTACTTTTTACGTATTGCTCTGCCACTGAATAAAACAAAACGTTGTGATAAGAATATTTGCAATAGATAGGATCGCCAACTTGGCAAGCAACTAACAAATTGGGTTGTGTTCAAGCTAATTTGTACTTCCGAAGAAGAAATGTCTCACTTCTGATGAAATAAGGATCCAGATCTGAATGGAAAAATGTTTCCGTGAAAAACTCTTCGCCTGGGTGCATTTGAGCAACTATATTTAAAAATTGGCAAAGCGGTACGTTGAGGTAATTACTTGTGCCCTCATTCGCTCAAACTGCCTTATCCAAAACTGCAAGACAGAGGACCATTCGTGCAGGTCTACACATTGACCCACGGACTATCCCGTCCGCTCTTGAGATTTCTGTGTTCTTCTCTAGCCCACATTGTTTTTGTTGAAAATCAGCCGAACAAAGTTGCTTTGGTGATAGTCAGCAGATACTCGGCGTCAAATGGACTCGGCCGCTCGCACTATCACGCTGTTTGCTCTAGACTACCCGTGTAATGAAGGAAAGAGAGTCGTGGCAATTAGAACAGCTGAAATATGAGGACTTCCTACTTGGAACTTATAGAGCTGCGTAATTATTCACGTCTTTATCCACTCAACTAGTAAAAACGAAATGTTTGGATCTACAGGGTTCAGTCTTGAGGTAAACGCCATCACACCGCGGACACGCTCTATCCGCTTCAAACGAGGTGAAAAACACCGATTCTATTCACTCACCATTCTTTTGGAGAACACCTGCGTACATTGAATACGTTCGAAACTAGTTACCATGTGACCAGATTGTCTGTCGCTGCGAGTATGAATATACTGACAAGTATAGCAAGTCAAGCCTTCTTCAACAATTACAACCTCTAGTAATATTATTTATTCGCTCTTAACTAGCCAGTCCAGAATGTCCAAATATTTGCATTGTATGCAGAAGAGTGTAAATCAACATACAATTAATTAAACAATCACATTCAACTTTATAAGGGACAAGTTAAACAAACTGCGGAAAAAAGTAATTTCAATTACCAACATTGCGAGTAATCTACTTCGACTGAATATCTATCCAAAGGAAGCGTTTTTCCCACACTTCCCGTCTGCTATTCTGTCAACACCAGTTTATATCCTCCAAAAATTTTGCTTTTTCGTTTGACGTAGCTTTCATTTGCCAGAGTGTAGAATCCAGGAGCCGGGTACGAAGGCGAAGGTGATAATTTCTGGTTTTGTCCTTAGTCTACAGCGAATCATTCCCCAGAAAACTTAGTCGTTCCAGCATGATGAGATACATTAGCCACCAGCAAGTAATTTCTGGCTGCTTGTGTGAAAGGTGTACTAAAACTGTGACAGACGGTCAATAATGCTTATCAGTATGTACCTGGTATGAAGGCAACTTATGATCTGTTGTTGATTGAACTGTCTTTCGTCGGGCATACTTTGCTGATTGTGATAGGAATACGACCTATACCGTTTGCTGCCCCATAGGGACGTTATTTTCCAGTCGAGGTCGCTCCATCTTACCTGCGCCCAATCAACTCTGTTGAGTATTGAGAGAGGGGAATGACAAAGCAGTATGCTAAACTTCATCCATAAGAACGGGGATGTAAAATTCCCCACTGGATGGAAGTACCAAGTAACATGACCTGCTCAGGACAACATGACACAGCACCATACGCTCAGAATACGAGGCCGTACAACTTGGTTCCTGTTGCACGGTAACGAATGCCGCATTAAACTTGTTTTTCTTTATTCAAATCGGTCAAAGGATGATCAACAAAGGTCTAGAGCTTTTACGGTTGATAGCATACGACGGTGCAGTTCGGGGTGACTTGCCACACAAATCATACTTTTACGTGTTCGGCCATCAACTCCGTTTCTTTAAGCAGATATGGAGAGCCGCAATTTGTACATAGCGGCACTGGGCAAAACGAATGTTATTGCGCGCGGGCAGCCAGCAAATATATTCCGAAAGCCAATACACCAACCATGCTTTGGAAATTCTCAAGAATCCTTCCACGTCTTATTCACTGAGGTGATAAAATTATCTGTGACTCCAAACTTCAGGTGTCATGTTGCCCGTATTCCAAATGGCTGCGACTCACCTGACTCTAAAAATCCGTCATAAAATTGGGGAAGAAATGCATTGACAGAGCAACATTCAACCGATTTCTGTGTAACTGGGCTCCTCAAACGGGATGCGAAATTTACAGCGGAACAGATGAACGTGCCTCCATTGGGAATTCGTTTCAATACGGTGTGGTCATGAAGCAGCTCGCTTGTAATGTTGTGGTCAAAACCTTTTTCTAAACCGCATATCGACAAATTGTTCACAATCGGGGCTAATTTGCTTCAGTGATTCCGTCGACCACTTGTTATACTGGCTCCAGCTCAAACATGCAGAATTTGCATTCGCTTTTGTAAGACACTATCACTCTATGGATCTTAGTCAATACCCTGCGAACACGTACAGCAGGTGAGCGTTTAAGTGACCCTAGCTATATGCAACACAGTGGCGGTTACTTACCTGAATCAAACTTCCCTTCAAATTCTGCATACGAATAGTAAAAAGTCACTGAATACCAACATAACAGCATTCCGCATTTTGCCGTCGAACACCGACGTGTGTACATTGTGAAATAAAGTTTTTGCTGTGCATAGTCTCTGGCTATTCAACCCATACTCCCTCCGAGTGGCAACTGCCTGTTTGCAGCAATAATTCACAGATTGAAGAATATATAATAATTGTCGTTCCTGAAACGGTTTCAAGGCACCCACAAGAGCAGATGTGTGTTAAGTTATGGAAAACAGATCCCCCGATCCCATGTGCTAAGTTGGTAGATGAATTTGTTTCTCTTGTCGTATCGAAAAGTGCTTACATTGTGATTGTCCTTCCGCTTCATTTTCATGCCATGGGGAATGATTGTGTCCTTCTACTTGACGTTTTCTGCCTCATCCGCTGGCTGTTGTCACCGGAAATGGACCCATGATTTCGACGGGCCACAACTTGCCGAATTCTGGGACAAGAATGGATTGCATGCAATGGGTTGGCAAACCGGCTGTATCACGCTGCTCGTCCAAGAGACTACCGCACTGAACGCTTTGAATCGGGAGCAGCACAGTCCTTTATCTTTGACAGTTTTTGTGGTAGTCGACTGACCTCTCCGTGACACGGTTTATGTCCCAGCACTGTCACCGAACTCCGAACGAGCTTTGTCTTTGTTTCATTTATCCGCAGGCCAGCTTTTCGGACGCGCTTCAACAGGGATTTAAAGTGGACAGTGTGCTCTCGTTCCGAACTGACGTACATGGCTTCAAAACACGCCCAGAAAACCGTAGGATTAACAGTTGAACTAGTGACGTAGTTGATCATGTTTGTGATACCACTACCCGACAAGCTAAAGCTAGGCATTATATCAGGGTCCTTAATAGTGTGATGGAGAAACCCCTTCGCCGCGAAGTCGTTTATTAGCAAAAAAACATCTCATATGAAACAAAACATCTTCACGTGTCTTCTGAAACTTCCGTATAAAGAGACGCTGCAATGCAGTTTCACAAGTCCTGCACTAAATCCCATGAATTGTATGCTCCATTTGACACGAGGCGGATTTCCGGGAAAACCACATACTACTCGCATGCCTCATCAGTAGCGTCCACTGTACAATAGTAGCATAGCGGTCGTTTACGGGCGAAACTGTTTCCGTCTGGTTTACGGCTACATCAGGCTGCATTTCTTCTGAAGCTTTTTGGCATCCTGTCTATTTCACACCATACGTAAACAATCTGACTAACCGGAAGTGCACCATTGTGTGGATTTAGCAACTGGGTGGACCCGGGATTACGAGTGTGCACTAAGGGCTAGCATGACCAGGCAAAATCGCATTTTGTTGTGAAGTAACTACATGAGCAAAAGCCGCAACCAGCAGCAGAAATAAACTTACCGCTCTTGACTTCCACCAAAGATGTGTGGGCTAAAATAGAAAACAATGAAGAATAGGTCCACAGATGAAAGTGGAGCAAACCGAGCACATTTTTCAGCCAGAAATATTTTGAGGGATTTTTACAAATCGTTCATCTTCATCTAGAGCTGCATCAATCTGCATCACTGATATGAAGTTGTCAACAAAATTCACCCGTGCAGTGAACGTTTCGATGACATGCCTAGTGAAATGACACAAGTCCTATGCTACACCAGCCTTTCTCTACCCGCAAATTCAATTCTAGTGCCCGTCAGGATTAAAAAGCGCCTCGTAAGTCTGCGGTTTTGGGAGACAAAGAGCGCAACAGCGACCAGCATGATATCTCACCAGACGACAAAATCGACCGTCAAGTAGGACAGGAAATACCTATCGCGAATAGTGTAGGGGTCAGCAGCCAAACCGGAAGTATGCTTCCAAATGCTCAGCCTTAACAATGCAGAATGCCCCAGATCCGCTTGGACGACAGGAAAGAGATGTGCCCGACCACTGAAAGTGACCCACTAAGAATGAAGTGCAGTTGTATACAACTCACTGAGGACGAGTGAATTTTGAATGCAGCATTCAGACGTTTGCTCACTCAATTTAATACCGTTAGAAGAAGATTCAATCATGCTATGGAATTGGAAATAGCAGTTCAGATCTCGACCAAACGAATATTTTAGAGGGCAATCACCAATTGCATAGGGAAGAGCTCACCTACCATATGAAACAGGAGACAACACGACATTGAGGTAATCGATTACGTTGAGATGTGATGGCTTAGGACGGAACATGTTTCTGTCCGACAAACCGGTGAGCCCATTCCTGAAATTAGTCGCACTCCGCAATGGTTTTGCTCTCATCTGTTGATCGAGAGAACCAGTGACCACTCAGCGAAAACATTGCATGATTATTACTGAATGAGAGTGAGAAGAAGAAAAGTCCCTAGATGAAAAAGAAACTAAGTTCCTTCCTAAATCAAAAGCTCTATATTTACAAACTACATTGAAATTCAGAAAGGCTGAGATGCACCTGCCTGCAAGAACATCCAGACAAGAACAGATTATAACGGGGTCAACATGATGGTCAACATGGAAGCCCCGAAGATGAAACCAACGTCTTGTTCTAAGATGGTTGAACTGGCAACCGAGTTCCGGAAGGCAATAGAATAAATGAAGTCAATAAATATGTTCACAGTTCTACGCTCCTTGGTTGCTACGGGCTTGTGTGTCGCCAGGCGTTTCAGTCTGCATGAACATTCATATACATTCAGGTTCGGGCAATTTGTCCAGTCAGATTGGTCACAAAGCTACAGCGTCGTTGGAGCTCAATGGTTCGGCACAGGCTGACTTTGCTGTACCGCAGGCGAGATTCCGGGTACGAACCACCGATGTGGATTGTTTTCACGAGGTATCCTAAGTATACTATATTGGACCAGTGGTTAGGTAATAAACGAACAAATTCCGGTGGATTTATCTGATTTATAACTCCACAAAATCACATCTAGCGAATTTTGTAGAAACCTGATAGACGCGATGACAGCGAAAGTCAGCTGCTTGGCTGCAGTCCATGCAGACACTCCAGATGGAGCAGCAGGCAGTAACCAATGGCAGTATGGGGTTGGAAAGTGGCCTTCCGATATGAGCAAACGACCTGCGCTCTTCGGAGTTCCACAAGTTCAACGGAACAACCTGTGATCACTCCCTATCAGTAGTCAATTGTGTGTGTTCTTGAGGAGCACCCAACTGAGTCCGAGCAGATGTACGCCTGACGAATGGCGTATGCATGTCATCGGGCACCATAGTGACCTGTTGCGCTTTCCGCCCCTATTCAAACCATCTGTTTGTTTGTCTCTTAGGTCACTCACACCAAATAGCCATTTGTTTTTCTCTAGGCACATTTTATCAACATTGTTACAAGTGAAATTTCGAAGGAATAAACTGAAAATTATGGGCAGTAAAAAGGGTTTCAATAGCAGTCGATTTCATGTACGCACTGAATATTCATCTTACTGTCCACTGATCCACCGCCTTAAAAATGGAAATAAATTGACCTGCACTGCGTACACATAAAATAATCACACAATATACTTGTTGTTTTGATTTATTTTACCGGTTCAGCGTTCCTAATCACGGCGCTCAGAAGAGTAAATGAATCGTTTAGGCCAGCGAACTATTTAGGGTAGAGTGTCTGAGATGTGTGGATCAATAGAGCGCGATTTGACCATCAGTGAATAATCTAGTCTAATATCGAGATGGACAACATACTATCAGCTGGTAGTTTGCTTATTACAAGCAACCATGTAAGGTCAGAGGTGACCCGAGTATTGCGCTTAAGCTGCCGGCAAAAAATACCCAAGTTTGCGATGTTGAACGACGAAGGTTATCGTCATTTCTCTTGAGGGCATCATCTTGAACTGTTCTAATCCTCAACAAAAGCCGCCATGTGGGCTAGAAAGCTGAGAAAGCAAACGGATATTCGTTTTCTACAAGTGCCAGAAAACAATGTTAATGTAATGTTGGTGTCGTTGAATTAGGCGACTGAGGAAGAAGTACTGTCTCTCATTACATGCGCAAGAAATGAAGTGATCAATCCACAAGTTTGTTCTATCAAAATTGTTTAGGCGGTCTGTTCAAATCAGATTCACAAAATTGTATGACGACATCCACGCAAGATATTTAACAACGGTAGTGCAGAGGATACCCATCCGGTCTAGTTGATCATCATCTGTGAATCACCGGAAGAAACATTGGTAAACAGTGAACACGCAAGGGAACACGGGCACACCGAAGGTCTTGCTCGGTAAATGTTCGTCATCCCAAGGGTCCATCAAGCATGTAAAAGCAATTCTTTGTGCAGAATTAGAACTAGCTTCGTCCGTTCACCTCTTTTTCACTTGTATGAAGTAGGTACTTGGAAAATTAAATGGTCTTGTGGCTCGCTAGTAAAACCATCAATGCCTAAGATGCTGATGCTGAGCATGCCGACAGAGCAAGATGAAATCGAAACGAGGCTTCTATGAAATAATCAGCTATGTCATTCTTAGATTCGCATTTCCATGCCTCACTGAAGATGAGATTGACAAAGAAATATAGTAAAGTTTATTTAGCTTCAAACAGGGCAAAAATAGTAACGTAGTTGAAGGTTTTCGATACGGAACACTAAGTGAAGCGTAGTACTCTCCACACAAAGGTAAGCAAAGCTATACAAATAAGGAAACTACTCACAAGGATGCTGAAAAGTCTTTGACAGCCTTCGACGGGTTTTACCCTTCTTCGGGCTCATCAGGTAGACGCAGTTCCCGAGTTTCCGTCAATCTTATATTCTAATTTAACCCACATTGGACTGTTTTCGAGAAATACACTCATTTGTAGAATATCATAAACGAGAGATTCAGTTGAGTCTAAGATTCACTGTCACCCTCCGTTGACGGAACAATGGCGAACGAAATGCAAGCTCTGTAGTTTGTGGTGCGGACACCCTTTCCGTGTTAGGTCTGGTAATTTTGGTTGGAGATGCGATTACACTAAAATCCGAACGGAGCAAGTAATGGCAGAGTCAGCTCAGGCGTTCCAACGCGCACAGGTAATTTTGTGATCTGTAAATATTCACACGCACACTCGTGCTGACGTAACATTGTCGGACGGGACGACATTCGGTGTTGAATGGCGAGTACGGATGAGCAAAACAAGTGGAATTAACTGGATACAGTCAATTAATGAGGATCGTCATGAGGTCATGTTGGATTTAGTATGCATTCACGAGATGTGTATTCAAGTGGATGACGAATTTTCCAAAGTAAAATTCCGCTTGCTTCGAATAAACCATGACCAAAGCTTTGGTGAAACTAGTGAGGTACAAACGTGTGATTGGAGCACAAGTACTCAGCACTGCGCTCGACATCCATGACTGACTTCAGTTGTTCTACTTGGGGGAAAGGCGAACGCATTTAGCGAAGTGCACTCGTTTGTGAGCCGGCCTAAAGTTTTCGCGACACCAAAATGGTTTCACCGTAATAGGTTTACACACTCAGTTCAAACACGAGTGGAAAAACAATGGAAAATGAACTGACAGGGATATTTTGAGTATTCTATTCTGTAAAGCTTACCCAGCCGCGTGTACGTTTCCGCTGGAGAGAGGATGCGTTATTTTAAATGGAGCAAAACACTGAGATTCGAGTTCCCCTACATTAAGCAGGTAAACAATAAATTACATAAGCACGGCCTAATAGCAGCAAAGTTATTCATCTGTCCTATATATACGACGTCAGTTCCATCGATAGTTGAAACAAGTAGGTGAACTCGGAATGTGAAGTATTGTAGCATGACCTGGAGGACTGCGTGCAAGTTGCGATTATCTGTGAATTTGTCTGAAATTTTCAACTAACTTGCTGCGAAAAATTTGTTCAAATCTAAAACGAAAATATTTTATAGAGTGTGATAAAGTATTGTGTGATCTTGTGTGACATACCATGGAGAAACACATTGTGGTGTGTTGTAAAATAGTGCGTTTTTGATTATACAGTGTAGTATAACATTTCAGTGGGCGGTAGAGAAGATTGTCAAGTCGACGAATGTGCCAGATTGTGGAACGGGGTTTCAAGAAGTGTCCGTGATTGCTAAAGCTTTGACACTGTACAATGAATGTTATCGGTCCCAAATGAACACTTAAAGATACACTCGTACACACCTAGAGAGATTAGTCCCAAATAAATCAATCCCCTCGGGCTAGATCGATTTCGTTCGGCAACTAAACCTGCCTCTGGTACTGCTTTTAGTTGTGCCTGTAAATGAAACCAGAAAGCCTTACTGTTACCCAGCATGTTTGGTTTCAAGTTTTATGTTGTGCGACTGGATCCACGATGAATGAGTGCGCACACGTAAACATTATGGGGTTGGAAAGTGGCCTTCCGATATGAGCAAACGACCTGCGCTCTTCGGAGTTTCACAAGTTCAACGGAACAACCTGTGATCACTCCCTATCAGTAGTCAATTGTGTTTGTTCTTGAGGAGCACCCAACTGAGTCCGAGCAGAGCTATGCCTGACGAATGGCGTATGCAAATCATCAGGCACCTGCTCCTGCAATTGTAATCTGACTCGTTCGTCTTCCGCTGTTGGTTACACAGGCGGAAGCCTGGGTAGAGTTAGCCAGTAGAAAGTACCACATAACTCCTATTTATCCATCGCGGCTACCTTCAAGATGTACATAACTATTGCTCCATATATCTGGTCTTATTGGCAGAGCGCCAATTCAAACCCGGTGCTGTTACTGGGGCAACGTAGCACATATATTCAGACGACATTCTTTCTATTGTCGACGATTCGTAAGACAAGTGATGTTTCTTAGACCAAGGCCATTTGGCGCCTTCAGATTTTAAGAGAAAACAACTGGGTTTCCAAGAGACTATTTCCGTTAGGGTTGGAATCCAGATATACTTCGAAAGCGTGAACCACAGCAGAAGATTTTTGTGGGACACAATCACACGTTCAATTTCCTTACATGATGGATTAACCAACCGGTTTATCTTTGCAGAATTATTGGTTTAACCGGTAAAGCCAACATTTAGTTAGTTGTACGCGGGGATCTTAGAAAGTGGTTCAAAAGCCATGGCACATATGTTCACCAGAGTTTTCTGAACTTATCTCAAGACTGATAAACCGGGGGGCTTGTAACTTATCCCACTTACGGGTGTTGAGCTCTACAAAAGTTGCAAATAAATTACGCACCGAGTTAAAACCAATTAAACGTCTTAGGGCATTTCATCTAAGAATTTTCACCAAAATAATATGTATAATCGGTGGTTGGTAAATTTGATTTCCGATTTCAAGACTAGTGCGCGGTTATCCAGGGAATAACCCATATATTATATGCTACATCCACCGCAGTGCGTGAGTTATATGACACAGATTGAAGTGACCGCTTGCGAATCATTTTGTGGCGGAGAAAATTAACACGATAATGTCGTTATCATTAACGGATACGTAGCCCAACCACAGTGAATTGCTTGTGTGCGCATTCGAAATTTATATCTCATGCGTTAGTTAAATCGGAAGATTTTGTTGGCCTGAAAACAAACAGGGAATTAGTTGTGCGAAAATTTGCATTTCAAAAATGGCGTGTACTTCCTGTTGAAAACGATGCCTTGCGTAAAGTAAATGTTAGATTATTACGTTGCAACATTTTTTATTCCTCGTCAACACAAAAGATAATAGGAACGTTAAGAGGAAACACCTGTACAATAAAACGATGGAAACAACGACAATAAAACAATATAGCAATGAAGTAGTAAATTTTGAAAAGTCATTTTGCACACGTAGGTCAAGTTTCGCGGGATAAATTTAATGGATCCACTGGAAAATAATTAAATATTTCTGGGTGATTCAGGCAATCTCAATATCTTAGAGACGAGCACGTTATATCAAACAACTCTACGAGATTATAAAAGGCAACACACTATGTGTAGCGAGTTTGGGGTGAACCGATATACGTGGATCCCAAAATATTTGTCTGGATGCAATAAATTCGATTTTTGACGGCTTGATCATTTTTATCATGACAATGTTCAACTTACCCTCGATGGTGAAAGGAGTGGTGGCGTCTAGTGATGCTGAAAACGATAAGTTTGCCGTTTTGTGTGCAGAATGTTCAAGAATTGTACAGCATACGGAATTTTTCCGTGTGCACGTCATAAAAGGCATCACATGTCAACTCAGATATAAAAAATAAAAAAGATATTAATCAATGCTAGAGAGAACTTGCGTTGGATTATCAACCTATCCATTGCCATACCATGCATTTCCCCATTCACATGTTAGGCCATATATATATATATTATAAATGTTAGGTAAACATATCTAGAACACTCAAATTCACAGCCTTCCACCCTGCAAGGGAGTTAGGCCGAAAGATCTTAATTACCGACCAGGTAAGAATGCCATTATGTCGTTAGCCCATGCACAACTGTGTATGAGATACGACTGTTGATGATCACACAGTTGGGGTAGACACTTATCTTTGTTCGTGAGTCTAGTCTCAACCATAAAAGTGCCAGCATCGCTCGCCCAAGCAAATGACGGATTCACTTTTCCAGGTTCAAAAACAGTCTGTTCCAATTTCCCTCCATATTTTAGCTCTTTAGGTTTTTACCCGTTACATCACGAGTAATGAATGGCCCCGAATCGCTTGTGTTCTATCGCTCACATTTCTGCAGCAGTATCGGCTGGTAAGAACAGAAATTGTTGTCTATGCAACTCTCACGGTCCTCTTTGTGATGAACTTCGCTGGATGTTTGACGCGTGAAGAAATTCGTATGTCAGAATTTTTTAAATCGTCATGCCAAAACTTGAGGGTTGCGTTTTAATCAGTCTAGTTCGAAAATTGCGTTCTGATATCTTCCAGCTTTCCAATAGTGACAATCTTCATTTTCTTAGGCATATATGTATATGACTATCTATCTATCTATCTATCTATCTAACTACCTATCTATCTATCTATCTATCTATCTA